TAAACCGAAGGTATTGGGAACAAGGTGGCCGCTCAGTATTTCTCTGACATAGCCAGACGTGTGTGCTAAGGCTGAGGATTTCTGTGTGAAAGCCCACTAAGCCGGTTATTCAGGAGACTCCAAATTGCCCCCGCAGTGGCAAACCATACATGTCCGAGGGCTGCAGAGCTGAGACCTGGCAGGGCCAGCAGGACACAGGGTGGTTTTTGCATTTACAGTGTGTTTGTGATGACAAGGGCGTGAAACCTGATTTTGTAGATGTGATTTTTTAAAAATTCATACTAATGATGTTTCTGAGGTTCGTTCAAGAGGTGCCTTTGTAGACAAATTTTAGAAGTTCATGGCAGCCCTGTGAGATGGGTAGGACAGACCACTTCTCTTTTGTTTTGACACCTCTGGCTTTAAAAGTCAAGTTAACTTGAGGCTGGTCTAAATTAGTGATGTCACTTTCAAAATGATGTCATTTACATATCTGTGTATCATTGTGTCACCTTAAAAAAGTACAACAATCCTGCTTTTACTTGGAGATGACTCGGTTTGAAACCAGTTTATAATGCATCTGTAGAGTTTTCTGTAATTATTTTCTCTACAGATTAATCTCCAATTTTCTTGAATTTGTGAAATCAGTTATAATAAATAAGTCAGAAGTGCAAGTTTCTTCTTTAGAGTGTATCTGAGGCTGTTTTCACATTTTCCCTAGTAGGTATTAATTAGAAAGGAATTTTTTAAAAATTGACCTGTATTTTTATACCTAACACAAACCATATAGTCTGTTGTGAACGCTAGAGATAAGCAGTTTTCATAGGAATAAAAATAGAATAATCCACACCAAGGCAAATATGAAGCATGCTAGATTTGTACTAAGGTTCAGGTTGAAGCTTTAGAACTTCTGGTGTGTCTCGTAGCATACAGGAAGTTCTCTGCAAGTGACTTTTGTTTATTCTCGATATCTGAATTGCCAAGGACCAGTGTGAACTGTGTGGAAAACCAGAGTAAACCACCTTGGTAGGCTCCATATCTGGTTCTTTCAGACTGCTTCACGGTAGAATTCACAACGGAACTATTTTTCTGGAAATTTCTATTTGTTCCTTGCTCTTCCTTACGATTCTGCAGGGCCCCTCATGGCCATTTCTGCTACAAGAGGCTCCCGGGTCCCTTCTCATATACACACCAATTAATCACTTATGTTCACAGTGTGATTGGAACACCATTCAGGGGCCGTATTTCACTCTTTTCAGAGAACTTTTAGATGAATCGCCTCATTTTATCCCCTGTAAAATGTCTACAGTTTGGGCAGAGCTGGTTTTATTAAAGAAACAGAAGTGTGGGGGGTGCACAGTATTTATCCCATGGCACCAATCTACAGCTTCTAAAATCCTTGAGCAGTAGACATGAACGGATATTATGTCTCGCTTGTTTGTTTTGCTCTCACTTATATATATTGAAGAGAAAAAAAATTCTCATGGCTTTGGCAGTGGATAACACAATTTGTAATAAAACCGGAAGAACCAAAATAAACATTGAGCAGAGATTCTCGAAGTTCTCAGAGCCTGATTGCCTCCAAGTCTTCCCGTAATTCCATGTTTTCCTCTGTGGTGCCTGCGCTTAGAGCAAAGTCGATATTTGCTAAATAGCAATTAAATGAGTGATCAGGTGTTAACTCTTAAATACAGCACCCTCTAGAGCAGGGCTTTCAAACTGAGGTTCTGGGACCCCCTAAGGGTTTGGAGAGAGAAATGGGCGATTCTACGAACTTGTACCAGAAAAAAAAAAAGTGCATCTTTATTTTCATTAACTTCTAACTGAAATGCAGCATTTCTTTTTATTGTGAAAACATAGAAAACAAATCACAGTGGTATTAGCAGGACCTGTGACTTCGTCACCAGTAGAAATCGTAGATATTTTCATATCATGATTGAAATATCACCTTCAGTCAACATTGCTTTGAAATCACATTCGTTATTAAATGTGCGATAGATTTGTTACATAAGGCGTTGATAAAGAAGCACATATACGTCACAAACTTCTAAGTTTTAGTAACCGCATTATAATACAGTTGGTTTCTTTTATAGTTCTTTGTACTTTATTTTATGTCTTCTTAAAGGACTTTGAACCTTGCCAAACTGGCTGAGGGGTCAGTAGAAGGCACAGGTTAGGAGCCCTGCTCTGTATGTGGTTTCATTTGTTTGTTTACATGTGTGTAACCCTAGAGATGCTGTGACTCAACGCTGTGCCTCACTGGTGTGTTAAATCGTTGTGAGGTGTTTGAGAAGACAGAATAACCCCTCATTCGTTTTAGATTTATTTTCTGCATCGACTCAGACAGTGGTTCTCTGTTGTGAGTGGGAGTGGGGATTAGCAGTGTTCCAGGGTGTTCTGATATGCCCCCATGGGAGGACCAATGGATGAACGGGTCATCCATACTGTTTATACACAGATCAGAGCTGGGGTAGTACTCAACTCGCATTCCTACGTGTCACCCCCCAGAGTGGAGAAACGATGCTTTGCCCCTCACCTGGCTTGCTGACAAGTGGCAAGACAGCTCTGGGCATCCCCCTTTACCAAATGGTAGAATGAGCATTTCAGAAAAATTTCAACACTTTCATCATCAGGTGGATAAGTCTGAGACACACAGAAAATGAAAATGACCCACAAAGCAAATGTACCCATAAAGATGGGCCAGTTAGGATTAAACGGTCCAACAGGAAGGAAAAATAAGCAGCATCTATTGCTTACTCTGTGCTAGGTGCTGTTTTTAATGCTTCACGCATCTCTCGTTTAATTTTGACAGTGACTTCTGATTTAAATAGTCTCGTTATCCTCATTCTACAGATGACACTGAGACTCAGGAAATTAAGCTTGCCCAAAGTCACATAGCTAGCAAGGTGGGATGCTGAGTTTCAAACCTAGGTTGTCTGGTTTGACTCCATATCTTAACCACTCTCTCAAAGTAGCCAAATGAGGGGGAAAAAAATCTAGTTTAAGAATAAAGCTCATTTGGTAAAAACGGGAGGAAAAAAACACCCTTGGGTTCAGAATATGTCAATAACTTATTTTTTTATATAACACAAGTCCAACATGTTCAAAATTCTTTTTTTTTTTCCTCAAAGCCACTGTCTCAAGTAAAACTCAGCCTGGTGTAGCTTAATTTCTTTCCTGTGATTTTTGCCTCCAGCCCGTTGTCTGTAGGTCTCAGGTGAAGATGACTACAGACCTTTCTAGTCACGTAACACTCAGCAGACACCAGACATGGAGGTTGCTGTGTCGGTGCGCAAGTAGCTCTGGCTCCTTCTGGTTCTTCCTTTCCAGGGTCCAGCCTGTGTAACTGTTCAGTTAAGCAGCACTGGTCAGAAAAAGAAAGCTCTCTGGGTCTCCAGTGCATAGGACCTGCTGCACGCTTCACCTCTGAGTCTACCTGGAATGATCTTTTTCTTAAGAAGAGATTACGAAGCAGATAAGAGTTTTGAGACATCATTGCCTTGTTTGCTTTTACCATAATACATCAGCCAAGTATTTATAGGGTGCCTGGTGTGTACCTGTTATCTTTCGTGAACTTGGTTTGTTTGAATTCCAGCTGAGATTCTCTGGCTGAGGCAGTAAAACCATCTGGCTGACTGATTTGCTTTCATGACCTAACTAGGGACTTTGCACTGGGTTTGGTCGACGCAGGAAGCTCTCGAGACCTTCGTCTGGGAATCTGCATATTAACCAGCTCCTTCTACCATGTTCATTTTTAAAAATTTAAACAAAAAATTTAAAGCCCATGAATCAAGTCCAACCATAATCGTGCGAATGGGGCGTCAGAGGCCTGGGGTGAAGCGGCCGTCCTAGCTCATGCAGGTGGCTCGCACGAGGCCAGGGAGTGTGTTAGGGCTCCCCGCTCCTGCCCCCAGCACTCTACAGTTGTGCCTGTGGGGTGGAGGCTGCGGTAGAAATCATCCCCCACTTCCGCCCTTGGTCATTCACGCGTGTGTGCAGTCTCAGGTGTCATGAGGTCTGAATGAGCCTGAGTGCTACAGTTTACTCACACAGAACTTGTCACAGGAGAGGGGACTCTGCCAGGACAAGGCACGAGGACACAGAGCATCGGGCATGGGGGTCTAATGCGTGCAAGTGCGGGCGGAACCCCACCCTCCCCGCCTGCTTATACCTGACGTCCCTTCCTCTCCTCGTCCTCCGTGTCCCCGGAGCAGAGTTGACATCGTGACCACTCCCTTCTAGAAGCTCACCCCGCTCGCTCCTGGATTTCCCTCCTGTCTCTCTGGCCAGTCCTTCCAGCCTCTTTCACCAGTATTTCCTCTTCTTCTTCTGAGTTTCTTAATCAACCCTGATGCACCCAGAGAGCTTTTAAAAATATACTGTCCCCAGGCCCCACCCTGCGAAGTAGTCATTTTAAGCCTGTCATTCCTGTCTGCAGTGTCTGCGACACGCTGCTCTGTGGGCGCCCAGCCTGCGTCTCTCCGTATAGTCTCTTCCCAAAGCTTAGGTACCAGCCACATGCTGGCGTCCCCCAAGTGCACGTCCACCCCTGATCTCCCCTCCGCCTTCTAGGCTCATATCCCAGTCATGTTCAGTGCCAAAAGTGGGGTTTTTTTCCTTCTGTACACATTCGTCTTGATAA